AGGAAGAACTTACAGGATGGATTGGATGTAGGGGAGTGAAGGCAAGTGAGAAGTGACTGGGCGGTGGAGGCAGCCATTTACTGAATTGGGAAGACTGGAGGGAACAAGATATGGGGAAAAGTGGAAAGTTCCATTTTGGACATGCAAAATTTGAGGTGACTGTGATTCATCTAAGTGTAGGTGTTCAGTTGTGAAGGAATAGGTGAATGAGTCTGGAGCAGGGAGAGGGTGGGGTGGAGACACTCCGTGGGAGTAAAGGCACTCACCTGAGGACAGAGGGGTTAGAATGCAGAGGAAGGCCTTGGGCAGAGTCCCTGGGAAATCTAACATTTAGAGCCAACACTAAGAGGATTAAGAAGTGCTGAGTGAGGTAGTAGGAAACCCAGGAGGGTGAGATCACAGGCCTACCTGCCACACAAGAGCCCACAGGAGCCCTGTGGACCTAATCCTAGGGCCTTCCACAGATATTTATTTGAACGATACCCTGTTCTGAGCCTGGCACAACTGTGGCTATACAGGAGGCCTGGTGAACGGGCAGACACAGAATGGTTCAAGTGGCAAAGTGCTGCCTCTCAGACCTTCCCTCTGGGGCTCTGCAACCCTCTTTTTGAATAAACAACCCCCCTCACCAGCTCACCTTTTTGTTTCCCTTGTTTTTGTTTTGTTTCGTATCTTTACTTTTTTTTTTGTAACTCCCAATTGTTTTCCATCATTTTATTTTACACCCTACTCACATGTATAATAATTTTCAAACAGTAGTAGTAAAAGCATAAATAACAGTTATGTATCCATTGTAATCTTCACTTTGCTAACATGTTTATATTATATTTTGTGGCATATTAAAATCATTTATTCTAGATGGTGGAATTATGGCTGTTTTAATTTTCTTCTTTTTTTTTTTAATTTCCCAAATCTCTACAATGACCATATGATACATTTCTAAAAACAATTTATTTTATTTTATTTTTATTTTTTAAAATTTACATCCAAATTAGCATATAGTGCAACAGTGATTTCAGGAGTGGATTCCTTAGTGCCTGTTACCCATTCAGCCCATCCCCCCTCCCACAACCCCTCCAGCAACCCTCAGTTTGTTCTCCATGAGTCTCTTCTGTTTTGTCCCTCTCCTTTTTTTATATTATTTTTGTTTCCCTTCCCTTATGTTCATCTCTTTTGTCTCTTAAAGTCCTCAAATGAGTGAAGTCATATGATTTTTGTCTTTCTCTGACTGACTAATTTCACTTAGCATAATCCCCTCCAGTTCCATGCACATAGTTGCAAATGGCAAGATTTCATTGTTTTTGATTGCCAAGTAATACTCCATTGTACATATATACCGCATCTTCTTTATCCATTCATCCATCGATGGACATTTGGGCTCTTTCCATACTTTGGCTATTGTTGATAGTGCTGCTATAAACCTGGGGGTGCATGTGTCCCTTCGAAACAGCACACCTTATCCCTTTGGTAAATACCTAGTAGTGCAATTGCTGGGTCGTAGGGTAGTTCTATTTTTAGTTTTCTGAGGAACCTCCATACTGTTTTCCAGAGTGGCTGCACCAGCTTGCATTCCCATGTATCTTTACTTTGATCGGCTACTTACTGGATTGCTGCTATGTGGGGCAAACCATTTGGGGCTTGTTTTCTCTCTCCCTTTCTAAAAATGTTTTTATTTATTGGGGGGGGGTTGGGCAGAGAATGAGCTGGGGAGGGGCAAGAGGAGAAGGAGACAGAAGATCTGAGGCAAGCTCTGTGCTGACATCAGAGAGCCTGATACGGGTCTCAAACTTACAAACCTTGAGATCATGACCTGAACTGAAGTCAGATGCTTAACCTACAGAGCCACCCAGGCGCCCCAAGCTTGTTTTCTCTTTTTATTTTTTTATTTTGATTTTTTTAAATTTTTTTAACGTTTACTTATTTTTGAGACAGAGAGAGACAGAGTATGAACAGGGGAGGGGCAGAGAGAGAGGGAGACACAGAATCCGAAACAGGCTCCAGGCTCTGAGCTGTCAGCACAGAGCCGGACGCAGGGCTCGAACTCACAACTGTGAGATCATGACCTGAGCCGAAGTCGGACACTTAACCGACCAAGCCACCCAGGCACCCCTGTTTTCTCTTTTTATTTTTTTTTTTAATTTTTTTTTCAACGTTTTTTATTTATTTTGGGACAGAGAGAGACAGAGCATGAACGGGGGAGGGGCAGAGAGAGAGGGAGACACAGAATCGGAAACAGGCTCCAGGCTCTGAGCCATCAGCCCAGAGCCTGACGCGGGGCTCGAACTCACGGACCGCGATATCGTGACCTGATGCTTAACCGACTGCGCCACCCAGGCGCCCCAATGTTTTCTCTTTTTAAATAGTGCTTCACCCTTTGCTTTCTCTTCTCCCTTCACAGACACCATCACTCCGAGCACCAAGTCCGCTAAGGGCAGGGTCTCTAAGAGTCATCTGCAAATGCTTCCCATTATGTGCTCAGTCAGGATTTGCTGAGTAGACAGGTGGGTAGATGCATTTGCCTTTTTATTCTCGTTAGGATGCTTTGTGGAACAAGGAGGACACGGATATGTCTTTGTGGGAGGCCGTGGAGGAAGGTCTTTCCGATCTCCGGGTTATGTGCCTTAACTTCTCCACAAACCATCTGTGGCAGATTGCCTTTTCTAAAAAAGACCACACCAGTATTTCCAGCCCCACATACTCTTCCAAAACTTTGGCACTGCCCCCTCAAGATGGGGAGTCTCAATCCCCACCCTGTGAGCCTGGGCAGGACATTATGGTTGCTGGACAAAGAGATTCAGGGCTGGCTACATAATTTGTGGGGCCCAGTGCAAAATAAAAATGTGGGGCCCTTTGTTTAAATATTATTGGGAATTTTAAGATGGTGACAACAGAGTGGTAAACCAAGTGTGGGTCTCTTCTAAGTACAGAGCCCTGGGTGACTGCACAGGTCACATTCTGTGAAGCTGGCCCTGAATAGAAATGGCTTCTAAGTCCTGTCATAAAAGGCAGTGCAGCTTCCTTCTGGCTGTCTCTGAGAATGCTCCATCTTGGAACCCAGTCAAGTAATGTGAGGAATCTCAGGCTACATGAAAAAGCCACGTTTGGGTGTTATGGCTGTTAGTCCCAGCTGACAATCACTGTCACCTGCAAGATATTGGTGAATAAAATATAAATATAAAATCTTTTGATTCTTTTACCTTCTTCCAGGAACTCGCGGACAGACATTATGCATATAGTAGAAGATTACAAGGACAGGAGCCCTCTTGTGAAGGTTGAATGTTCAACCAAAGCAAAGAGCTCCAGTAGCAGATGGCCAAAGACTATAGAAAAGGAAAGTACTCGCCAGTGGTGTGTTAGAGAAATTTCCTGAAAAGGTACGATCACAACTCTCATTCATATATAAAACGGACACATGCTAAACCTTTTATTTAACTCAGTAGTCATGGGGGGAAATCAGGCAGATGTTACCACAGGTTCAAAAGAAAATCTGAAGAACACACCCAGTATAGATCAGGAATCATGAAACAGGTGTACAAAGGA